CTACAAGAAGAAGAAGAAGAAGAAGAAGAAGAAGAAGAAGAAGAAGAAGAAGAAGAAGAAGAAAAGAAGAAGAAGAAGAAGAAGAAGAAGAAGAAGAAGAACGATAACGATAATAAAATTGATAATAAACAATTATGATAATAATAGTATATTAAAATAAATAGGATAACATTAATTGTGATGATAATTACTATAATTATGATATCTAATAGCTACATAACTGAATGATTAATCGATAAATAAATTAATTAATCAATTAATTAATACAGACACACATTATTTAACAATATTCGGAGAAGAATTTTTTTAAAGGAGGAAAACTGGACAATAATGGCTAAACCAAACTGTTATAATTGAAATCGAGACCAAAAGAACGCAAGCCAGGCCATCATCACAAAAAACTATTGAAGATTTCCATCTCGGGCACGGATAGAATAGCAGACCGGTCAGAGAGTATGTAATGGCCTCAAGGGGAACTGCCGCCAAGACCACCCTCCAAAAGGTTGAAGTTGAAACAGTGCAAAACCAAAGCCTGACAATTGTCAAAGGAGGAATTAAAGTCACACCAATAAATTATATGTGAGGCAGCGTGGTGGAATCAGGCTCTCGTCAAAATAATTAAAGTCAAGAAACTTGCATTTTTCCGCAGGTTTGTGAATTTTCATCAATTTTTTGTTTTTTGCCTCAACAGCTTTCATGCCCATTAAAGAACTCGTTCCTGAGTGGATTTTTCTGAAAAACGTTGATTAAAGGCACACAAAATGTAAATTTTCAGTTACCACGGATTCTTAAGCTAAGGAAGTAACTAATCTTTGGCGGCCATTTTCTCACTAATTTTACCTTTGAAAACAAGTGATCCACACCCCCTTCTTTCGCAAATATCTCGACTTGTATTCAAGATAAATGGATATTTTTTTCATCCAAATAAAGACAAGTGAACACGCTTTAAGATGATACCAATGACTCTACATGCCCAAAAATTGACGAGAGCCTGATTCCACCACGCTGCCTCACAATATTGAAGCAGTAGCAGGTCTGGGATCGCTGGAAGATAGGAGAGTAAAGAAAACGCTGACCCAATACACCAAGTTCCGACATCTCACAAGTCATCCCATGTACAAAATAATGAAAAACAAACAAAAGAAAAGACTGAAACGGCAAAACAGTACGACTTCAGCCAGGGGAATTCACAAGAACCTGGATTTACCAGACCTTGAACCAAATGCCCCGATCAAACAACAAAAGACTGTCCTCTTTGGAATCAGCACAGCCATCCAGAGGTCATAAAGGAAATTGAAGGAATTGTCAGCAAAGGAGCAGTATCCAAGAGCCAGTCACACCACCTGACCCAAGTCAATCTCAGAGAGAAGTTCCCACCAGATCAGTGGATCAGAGCATTCACAGATGGATCAGCCACGAGGCAACACGAGACGGGGGTGGGGGTACATGTATCTACATAGAGTGGCTTGACGAAATAAGTTCTAGCATCAGAATACCAACAGGAAAATGCGCCAATAACTATAAGGCAGAGACAAAAGCTCTCAATGAGGCAGCCAAGGTGCTCGGAAACAGTGAGGCCACACACAACGCGAAAGTGGTACCTTTGACAGACACAAAATCAGTCCTAAAATCCCCGGAGAACAACGAGAGTACTGAACTCACTACCCTAACAAGAACTACCATGGCACTAAACTCTACATCCTGCAGAGTTGTCTTGCAATGGATTCCTGAGCACGTCGACATAATAATATTTGGAAGCGAATGTGGCGACGAGCTGGCGAGGAAAGGAGGACAAAGGGAACAAACCCTCCTCAGCCCCAACTACCAGGAGGAAAAAACACTCATCAACCGATGCCCAATGGAATGAGACACACCCACAACACAGAAGAAAGTACCCAATCTACCAGCTCCCAAAAGCCGACCAAGTGATTATCTTCAGACTCAGAACAGAACACAACAGGCTGAAGCAGCTCATGTTCTTCCTATTCAAGATCGGTGCTTGATGGGTCCAACTGTCCTCGTGGTGCCATCCGCCAAGATGCACAGCATAAAATTTATCCAGGACTGCCCACTAATGGGTACGGCAGGACAAAAATACTGGCCTCAACCTAAGGACATACACCAGAAGATATGGCAGCCCTCTCGACCTGGGAATCACTGTGGAGTTCATCAACACTCAACACTTTAGCCCTCACCATCTAATCTGCCATGAAGAACGAAGAAGAAAAAAGAAGAATCTCGGGCAGCAGATATGTTCTACATAATATATGGAAAGGATATCAGATAAAAATTCTCTTTTCTAATTGCCCTTTTGATTTGTATGACTTTCCCTCTAATTCTTACTCTAAGCAATATTATATAGGCGATTTAATCTAGAGGAGGTTGTGGCCGGAGTAAGAATTTGTAACAATACTCCCAACCCCCTTTTAAAAAATGACCTGTTAATGTAAACCCACAACAAACACATGGCTTAGGTTCTACAAACCTGCAACACAAGAAACAGCATCAACGTGTGAGTGACATATAAATAGAGGCATAATGTCCTTGATAGAGACAAATAGAAATAGATAAACACTCAGATCCGAGTGAGAGAGACAGGAGAGAGAGAGAGAGAGAGAGAGAGAGAGAGAGAGAGAGAGAGAGAGAGAGCGATTTTTCTTTAAAGGAGTGTTTGAAGCTTCACCTCCTTTCCTGCTCTCTAACCATGTTCTGTCGTCTGCTTTCGTCGCCACTTTCTGCCCCCATTCCCTCTCCTTTGCCCCTCTTCTGGGCTCCTAACTCTTTCTGCAGACTTGTATATATAGATCCTCACTCTTTCTTGCTGATATATTTTAATCACACCCCTGATCGTAGGGTAGGGAATATCTAACACCTAACTTTCTCGGATAAGGGTGAAAAATCTCTAAAACCCGTGTGCAAATTGCGTAGATAAGAGATCCAATCGGTAGTCCAAAATTGATAAAAATACTTGCTTCGGCCGCCACCCGTACAAAATTCAAATTCAAAATTAATTCCTACCAAACTGAAAATGTTTAATGTGTCCCGCGAGCTCATATCATGACCTTATGGAGTTGCGAGTGCCGTAAAACACTTATAAAAACCAATATATTAATAAATACGTAAATATACAATGCATATAGCCTATCAATAGGCCTTTTTGTATAGGCCTATTAACTAAGCATACTACATAATTAGTGCCTGTGTTGCCACACTTTCGACTTGTATAAGTAATATCCTCGATTACCATTACTGTTACATGTAATATGTCCTCAGGAGAGCGCTTTTCTGTTTCACGTGAAATAAAGTGAAAGTATCACAAAAGCTGTTCACTCTGTGCTGCTGTTTGTTGTTTATTGCTTACATTGTTGTCGCATGATCAGTAAAAAAAACAACAACAAGTGTATTCAAAATTTGTAATTATTATTGTGTTTTTTCTGAGATGGAATGCTTCAAAACTTGTTTCGATTTCGACAACAGTAATGATGCTCGGTTTCGTTTTTCTCCCACTACCATAATATTGTTGCTTCCTGGAGTACACAGGAGCTTGATGATTACCTCTCTTAATTTTGTACTTCTAGGTAGCGTATCAGGTCGCTGAGATGATGCAAATATTGTTTCTCCGCAAATTTACGAAAATATAAAATAAGGTTTGCTGCCATAATTAAAAAAAAAATTATATATAAAACTTTTAAAAGATTTATTGGTAGTTGTAAATCACCATGATCATAAGTAATTTGAAAAGTGAGAAATAATGAGACAAAACTTATCATTATTATTATTATGTCTGTGAAACTTCCGAATTCTACTTTTTATCAGGAGATGCGAAAAAATGGCTTCCTGGTGGAGTAGTTCTACCCTTCCTGTATTACTCACAGCTGTTGTTCTTGGCTTGTTTGTTCATTCAGGTAAGGGGGAAATGTCTATAATGATGTAGGTTTGAAGTGTAAGTGTTTTGACGTTAAGTTTTGATCTTAGTCTCAAGGAACATTGTTCTGGTTCCCATGATATCATCGGTGAAAGTGACTCAGTGACTGCTCTTGAAACCTAATCTAGGCTACTCAAGTCTGCCTAGCCTAGTCTACTGTAGATTCTAGGTCTAGATGTAGAGTACATCCTGTGGTGCGATATACAGTAAGCGATCTTTTGTGGATATCTCTGGAAGTTACAGGTCGATCTTCATGATTTTTTCACCAGAAGTTAGAAAAACTTCCTCTCTATACGGTGTAGCGCATTACTGTAACAGCAGTTTAAAATTTCTATATGTTGTGGTGGTGTTTGTTTGGTAACGTGTGTCTGGTTTGGTGCGCAAGGTTTCTGGTTTGGTGCAACATATCGTCTTGTTGGGTGCGCAATAGTACCATGTTTACAGCTCTAGATCTAGATCTAGCTCTTTTCTGACACTTTTCATCTTTCTCTATCCTTGCTTTGTCTTCTTTTCCTTGCAAGAAGTTCCTGTACTGACCATAATGGAAGGCCAAGGTCAATTAAAGGCGTGTTCTTTTTGGGAGCTGTGCGCCCCCTGACAGGAGATTTCCTTACACCTTGTGTATGTGTTTTGATAATGGATAAAAAGAAAGGTGCTGTGGACACAAGAAGGGGAAAGAAGAAAACAAGAATAAGACTATGGCCGGCACTATTTCTCCGAACGTTCGGGAAAATAAAGCTGGGCACTATTTCTCCGAACGTTCGGAAAAATAAAGCTGGGCACTATTTCTCCGAACGTTCAGGAAAATAAAGCTGGGCACTATTTCTCCGAACACTCTGAAATATCATCCTTTCCCCCAAATTTCGGATATTATATAGATCTATAATTATAGTATGGGCCTACCAAAGATTGTTCGTATACAATATGGTTCAATCGGTCCAAAAAATGTCCGCCGTAAATATTTATATAAAGAAATGCTACAATTCCAAACAGTTTTTCGCTATAGATATGACGTGTTGCCTATGAAAGGTGCTGCTTTTAAACGTAATGTGTTGTGTTCACTCGTGTGCTGTCTAGATCTAGATCTACGGAGGGTTATTGATAACTACACATAGAACTGGCATCTGCGTTTGTCACTGCTGCGACCAATGTACTGACACTGGCAAGCCCCTTAATGTGTGTGATTCCATAATTTACATGTAATATCCTGTACTTTTAAAAAAAAATTACGCACATTTAGGGTTAAAACTGCCAATCTTCTTCGGACAGGTGGACACACGCCCTTATTTGTTAATGTTTGTTGTTGTTTTTGGGCTGTTCTAATTTTGATTTCTTTCTGTTATGAAACCTTTCTTTTTCACGTTTTTACACTCATCTAAAAATCTCATCTAGACTAGCTGTTGAAAATTTAAATAGATATAGACCCAAAAATTTGCTCCTGTGTGTGTGTGTGTGTGTGTGTGTGTGTGTATGTATGTGTGAGTGTTTGAGTGTGTCTGTGTGTGGTAGTAAGTGGAGAGTGAGGAGTGTGTGTGTGTGTTTGTTTGTTTTTCGGGCTTTATTTCAGCCTTTATTCAGTAACAGTTCAAAGTATACAAAAATAGAAACACAGGATCCATTCACTCCAGGACTCATGAGTTATTCGTCTCTTTCAGTTTCACTCTTTCATTCAATTCCCGTGTTCTCTCCCGCGGCTCATCCCCGTCCGCATGACTTTCATACCCCACCCCATCCCTCCAGGCACACACAAAGAAAATCTCACTTGTTCCCTGCGAACCATGGACAATAATATAGGCAAAACACCGCCTGAGCTGCATTCCTTTTGTTCGTGAGCTGTGGACCAGGCCAGGGGTGGTCAGTGTCGTCGTCTTTTAGTTGCTGTCGCCTGTGGATACACTCGCACATTCTTCCTTTCACCCGCTCTTTCACTCACACTGTCTCTCCATCCACAGTTCAGCTCGTCATACGTTCAAAAGTTGCCCACTAGTTATGTTTAGTTAGTGTGTGTACATGTGCATGATGGTGGTGGGTGTGTGGTGGGTGTTACTGAAGGTTGTCTGTAGGCGGGCTTGCCATGCGGTACGTGTTCCTTCCCAGACCAGAGGCAGAGGCAGAATGAAAGTTGGCGCCGAACTCTCGCAATAAATAGGCAAAAAATCACGAGACCGGAAGCCGAAAACCGTTCGGAGAAATAAAGATCGGCACTATTTCTCCGAACGTTCGGAGAAATAGTCACTTCGTAAGACTATACCTAGACTAGTATTTTAGAAGGAAAAGGACAAAAAAGAAGAAGAAAAAGACGTGAAAAGAAGAAATTGAAAAAGAAAGGTGCTGTGGACACAAGGTCAAGGAAGTGAAAGAAGAAAACAAGAATTAGACTATACCTAGACTAGTATTCTTTAAGGAAAAGGGCAAAAAAGAAGAAGAAAAAGACATGAAAAGAAGAAATTGAACATTTTGGAGATTATATTTCCATATTAATTAATTTTGACATGAATACATTAACTTATCATCTTCCAATGGCAATATAATGCATCCAAATGGAAGGAAAACAGTCTGTTTCAGTGCACAATGCAGGTCATAGAGAAATAACTTAATAAGTAAAACAAACAAAGGGCCTAGAAGCCACACTATCAATGCCAAATAGCAAAAAAGCCGATATTGCGCACGAAACGGACTGCCCAAATTTGGTCCGCTTCAGTGCGCAACCCTATCTAGCACATTCTTGGGCATTAAGAAGCAGCCTGCGATAGTATTTATCGATTCTAGTATACATTCTACGATACATTAGAGCTAGATTAGCTAGATGTGCTAAATAATCGACTACTCAAGCGCTTAGTAAATTGATCGATACCGGTTACGAAAACCATTAATATGAAGGGGCAAAACTTTCCGACACCATAGAATCACGTGTGTTGACAGGAACCTCCAAAACGAAAGTGAAATAAGCTGCATTCTGCGCATGCTCACAGAAAATGACCTCGTTTTCGCTGTTCTTATCCAAAACAAAGCAGGAGACCGGGGGTTGCGCACCAAAACAGTAGCGCGGTGATGCGGGCCTACTCTAGTCGTAATTTAGATATAGACTCTAGATCTTCTATATTCTAGATTTAGATAAATAGATCTAGAGATCTAGATAGATTTGTTTTAGAAAGTGGCTATTCTCACCCGCCCGGAAGTTCTCGCAAGATCAACTCCTCCCCTCTTCTCTCTCTCTCTGTCTCTTTCTGAATACTGTCTATCGGTGTGGACGATCAAATTGACCAAAACAAAGTTAAAAAATGATGTTAAAACACAAAAGTAAATTAATTTGGTTGTCTACAAAGATGCTACAGCTATTTAACTTTTCGAATCGAGCCGAACTACGCGGGTCGCCATTTTGTTTTGCCCGGAAATTCTCGCGCTACTCCTCTCTCTTTCTCTCTCTCTCTCTCTCCACTGCCCACAGACAAAATTGTACGCTTTTAGTAGCTACAGTTGTAATGGAACGTTTGTTCACGGCACAGAATTCTACAATTTTTCTGTTATCACAGTGTAGAATTCTGTGGTTTAGGGTGAACGCAAAATTTGGTGAACGCACACCGGGTGAGAATAGCCACAAGACTCGCCTGCACTATTCTCACTCCGGGTGAAGTGAGAATAGAGGTGGCCTTTGTTTGAACTCTTGTCCTACGTCTGTGCTGAGATGCGAATCTTATCAGCAAGGCCACCTCTCTATTCTCACCCGGGGTGAGAATAGTGCAGGCGAGTCTTCACTGACTCACTTTTGGCTATTCTCACCCGGTGCGCGTTCACTGTTATAGACTAGATCTAGGCCAACAAATTTTGCGTTCACCCTAAATGCCCGCCGCCTCATTGATACGCCCCCGCCCCCCCCCCCCCCCCACGTTTCCTACTTCCTTTGTTGTAGAAAAAGGTAAAATTGAAGATTACTTGACCACCTGGCACCTGCATATTATGAGCTGTGTAAAAAAAAAAAAGACCGATTCGTTCAAATACACAACCTGTGTCATTCGATTGTTTACCAAGAAAAAGTTGTGTTGCTGTGTAGAGCTGAGCATACGGCAACTTTTGATTCCATAGACCAGCGCACAATTCATTACGTAGATCTACGTCAAGACTATCTTATTATTGTAATAATGATCAGTTGCCGGGGGGGAAAAGACTGACGCGTATGCGACGTTCAAAGCCCGGACCGATAGTGCCCCCCCTCCCCGACACGCACACAGCCACACGTGTGCAGGCCGCCCATCCTACCCCGACACACGCTAACGAGCCATCTTTAATTGCTTCTGATGACCTCTTGACAAATAAACATTTATTAGAAGAGCTATAACTTTTCAGGCCGGCCTCAAATTCATCATAAGATTAAAACTCGGCTCCTGCACAAAACGCCTCTTTGCCTGAAGTGATCCCGGTCTCTACCCAGCCTGAGGCGAGTCACGAGTGAGGCAGGACAGGAAGCCGGATTCACGAGTCACAGGAAGTCGGAAGTGATGTCATGCTGGACAAGAATCAGAGTCCGAATAACATTTTTTCATATTCGGACTCGAGTCCGAATAATCACTTCGTTTATAAAATGAAATGACCTGGGGTTGGAAAGGGGATAATATAGGCTATTATAATAATTTAGCAATGACAATCAGGCTTTCGCGCACAGCCAAAATTTGGGCAATTTTTCAGTAGTTCCCACACCGCAATTGTTATTCGCCGGTTTTGGCCTCAAGAGTAGGGGGAGTTTCAGCCCCCCTGACCTAATAAAAATATGGTGGGGGATTCAAGGGGGGGGGGGGGGGGGCTGAATTTTACCATAATTTGATTGAAGAATAACGGACCAGCGGACTGATTTTGCCTATGTCTCAACCTTAGGAATTCATAATTTTCCCGTTTTTGATATCTCTCAATGGAGAATCTCGGACCGGTAGATCTATTCATTAAAGTTATGTCAGGGGGGAGACCCCCCTGAACCCCCCTTCCCCC